TTATTATTATTATTATTATTATTATTTAATCACTATTCATTTCCATGAGGTGGGAATTTACTAACATCCCACTGAACTAAACCTTGGAGCAGATTAAAGCACAAATCCCAGGTACCTGGAGTGCAGCCGTGGAATTCAATATTGCACCCTGACCCAAACCAGAGCTGAGCTACGGGAGGAGAACTGGGAAGCAGAGATGAAGCAGATTGAAGCAGCAGGAACCAGTCAACAGGTGGGAGGAGGAGATAAATAATCCTGTCCCCAAAGTTCTACCTTACTCTTTATCCAGGGACATTCTGTCCCCGCCACCCCGCTCCTTTTTACCAGGGCCATTTGGATGCAGAGCGGTATTTTTTGGAGTGACTTGAAATTTTTACTCCACCCGAGTGATATTGCTGCTGTGGGACACATTTGGTGGCACATTGCTGCTGTGGGACCCCCTTGGTGGCACACTGCTGTGAGACACCCTTGGTGGCACGCTGCTGTGGGAGTCATTTGGTGACACACTGCTGCTGTGGGACACAAGTTGTCACACACTGCTGCTGCGGCACACAAGTTGTCACGCACTGCTGTGAGACACCCTTGGTGGCACATTGCTGCTGTGAGACACCCTTGGTGGCACACTGTTGTGGGACACATTTGGTGACACACTGCTGCTGTGGGACACCCTTGGTGGCACATTGCTGCTGTGGGACCCCCTTGGTGGCATATTGCTGCTGTGGCACACAAGGTGGCACACACTGCTGTGAGACACCCTTGGTGGCACATTGCTGCTGTGGGACACATTTAGTCACACACTGCTGCTGTGGGACACAAGTTGTCACACACTGCTGTGGGACACCCTTGGTGACACGCTGCTGCTGTGGGACACAAAGGGTAGCACCCTTGGTGGCAATCTGCTGCGGGACACACTTGGTCACGCACCTGGTTGGACATTGCTGCGGGACATAGGTGGTGGCACACTGCTGTGGGGCACAAGAGGTCACAAACTGGTGCGAGACATACTTGGTGGCACGCTGCTGGGGGACACAGGTGGTGACACACCTGGTGGCACACGGCTGCTGTGGGTTGTAGATGGTGACACACTGTTGCGGGACACACTTGGTGGCACCGTGCTGCTGTGGGATGCTCTTGGTCAGGTACGGTCGCTGTGGGACACAGGCTGTCACACACCTGGTGGCACACTGCTGCTGCTGGATGCCCTTGGTGGCACATTGCTGCTGGGGGACATAGCTGGTCACGCACTTGGTGGCATGTTGTTGTGGCACATCCTCAATCATACGCTGCTGCTGCGGCACGCACTTGGTCACACAAGGTTCTTGTGACACACCCGTGGTGGCACACTGCTGCTGTGGCACGCAAGTTGTCACGCAGCGAGGGACACACGGCTGCTGGAGGATGCGCTGGGTCAGGCTCTGCTGCTGTGGTCCACACTTGGTTGCGTATTGTTGTTGTGGGACACACTTGGTCACACAGTGCTGTTGGGAGAAGCTGGAGGACATGATCTGCTGCCGGGGGACACATGGGGTGACATACTGTGGGGTGCACAGTGTCGAGTGCCAGGTAGGCACTGACAGCTGTCTGGCACAGTATGTTGGTGGGTACTTGATGGGGATGGGGTCTTGGTAGACGGGAGGGAGGCTCTGCTGGAGGTAGCACGACATCTCGGTGAGGTTTCGGCAGGACTGGAACAGAATCAAAGAGTCACAGAATCCCAGAATGGCCTTGATTGGAAAAGCCCCTGAAGATCATCAAGTCCAACCATGAACCCAACACTGACCAGTCCCCGACTAACCCATGTCCCTCGGCACTGTGTCTACACGACTCTTCAATCCCTCCAGGGATGGGAAGGTTGGAAAAAGACCTCCAAGATCATTAAGTCCAACCATCAACCCAACACCACCATACCCACTAAACCATGTCCTGATGTGTCATATCTATGTGGTTTTTGAACACCTCCAGGGATGGGGACTCCACCACTGCCCTGGGCAACCCCTTCCAATGCCTCAGAACCCTTTCAGCAAAAAAATTCTTCCTCACATCCCATCTCAACTGCCCTGGCCACAACTGGAGCCCATTTCCTCTTGTCCTGCCCCTTGTTCCTTGGTTGAACAGACCCATCCCCACCTCTCTCCACCCTCCTTTCAGGTATTTAAGGTAGAACCACATGTGAGAAAGCAAAGACTTTAAATAAGCGTCCGGCTGAGTTTCTTCCTGTCCCACTGCTGCCTGCCCACAAGACCGGCTCACTTCACAGGGTGCTGGAGACACGTCCCACAGTCTCAAAACCACGTCAGCAGGAGCTGAAGATCCAACCCATCATTTTTAACTCTGAAACGTGGTATTAAATCAAACAGTGTGGAAATTCAGAGACACGCAGCACTAAATATCTCCAGAGACTGCAACTTCCTCCCTATCACCTGGACCTCCACAAGGAATAATGCATCTTAGAATCACAGAATCATAAAATCATCAAATGTGGTGAGTTGGATCCACAAGGATGATGGATCCAACTGCTGTCCCTGCACAGGACAATCCCAACATTCACACCATGTCCCTCAGGGCCTTGGCCAAATGCTGCTGGAATCTTGTCAGGCTTGGTGCCATGAGTACCTCCCTGGGGAGCCTGTTCCAGTGCTCCACCACCCTCTGCCTCAAGAACCTTTTCCTCATGGCCAACCTCACCCTCCCCTCCCACATCTTCCAGCCCTTTCCCCTGGTCCTATCTTGGAGGTCAGCAGAGGAATGGCTGATCTCAGAACTGCCTGTCAGTAATTAAATCCAGTTTTCTCCTCCTGCTTTTGGTCAGCGACTGCCTCTGACCTCTTGCTGAGGCATCAAGAAAAAAATTCAACTCAGAAACAAGACCTGAACCTCTGGTCACATCTGCTATAGCAGGAGAGGCAAAGAGCACCCAAGGAACCGCTGCTTGGTGATCCCATTACACCACAGAGGTTCACAGCTCAGTCCCAGCATCACAAAGTTCACGCTCATTAAGGAACCAAAGCCAATTAAAAGGTAGAGATACCACAGCTGAACACAAACCTCTTCTAGCAGGATGGTCCCTGATACACCAAAGCTGCTCTGACTGTTGTCAGGCACCTTCAAAAGCAAAAGACGACAGCAGCACCCCAATTACTGCCAACAACCCTTCCTCACATAGAATCATTGAATGGTTTGGGTTGGAAGGGATCTCAAAGCTCATCCAGACCCAACCCCCTCTGCCAGCAGCAGGGACACCTTCCACTAGACCAGGTTGCTCAAAGCCTCATCCAACCTGGCCTTCAACACTTCCAGGGAGGAGCAGCCACAACTTCCTTGGGCAACCTGTTCCAGTGTCTGACCACCCTCATGGTGAAGAACATTTTTCAGGATTATCTCTTGGACTGGGATGCCCAACTGGAGACACTCTAAGAGGGGACACTCTCACTCCAACACAGCAACTCCAACTGACTAGTTTTAAAAACTTTTCCCATCAAGTATTTAAAAATATTAAAAAACAACAAAAAAACCCCAATAAATCTGCATCTCAGCAGCTACAGAAGCTCAGCACAAACCAGACTTACCCAGCTCCCTGGTGAGAAGAGCTTCGTGATGTGACCAGTGAGTCCTAATAGCAGGAGAAGATTTATATATAGCTACTAAACGTGCCTTGAAGGGATGAGGTGCTCACGACATATCCTATTAGGTCCTGTGCAAAAGCTGTCCTGTGTGCAAGGTTTGCAGTGACGAGGATCAGTCTACTCATCCCTCAGGATGAGTAGTTGAATGTCAACTCCTCGTAGTAAGAGTAATTACCTTGCGTGTTCTCCTCCCTGGCATGGGAAGACTGAATGGTATTTGGAGAGGCGGGCAGCAGTGGCATCCCATGCCTCAGGGGTTTTGCAAAGCAGATGTAGATCCAATATGGGTTTCCAGAGGTCCATGGAAATGTCTTGGTGGTTCCCAGAAATGAAGCCATCCCATCACTTTGCCTCTTTCCATGTACATGTGACATTGGCTTCATGCCTTGAGAGCTGTGTTGATGGCTCAATATCCTTCTCTAACTTTAGTCCCTGGTTAGAGCTGGCAGCTCTTCTCATCTACTCTACAGAGCCCAACAGCCAGGGTTTGTTGTGTGTGCAGACTGGACATGTGCCACTGGTTCCTCTGAGGATAAACAGGATCTCCTAGTAAAGTTCAAATCACTCTTGGCTGGATGCAGTTCATCATCCATAGAGAACTTCATTCTTAGCTCACATAGCTCTGGAGAGCACCTGGCTGTTGGTGTCCTGATGCTCTCGTGATGCCCACACAATCATCTGTTATCAGAGCAATGGGAATACACCATCCAGTGACTCTTAGATGAGCGACAGTCACGTTTGATTGCAGCTCTGGCACAACAAGCTCCAGCTGTCAATGCTGTGACGGGCACCACGAGATGCTCCAAAAAAGCACCAGGAGCAGATAAACTTCCTCCAGTCCTGGGGGTGACTTTGATAATGAGTCAACTTCTTATCACACACTGTGCTCAGATTAAAGAAACTAGTTAGGAAAGCTGGAGATTAATTCTTCTGAAGTGGCTGAAGATCTAATCAATGTTTTCATGTGTACATTGTCACATGAAATATCCCCCCAAAAGTGACAATTTCTTCCTGGTAACTACAAGGAGAGTTGAGAAGGATCAGTGCAGAAGAATGTTCTGTCCCACCAACATCTAGCACTGGCTGAGATGAAACCCAGTTCCTGAGTATGTTGAATTAAAAACTGTGGTTTCTTGTCAACTAGAGACACAGGTCTCCTCAGGTGGTTTTTGAGATGAAGAAAAAAAGTCCATCAATAATTTTGTAATGAAATGGAATAAAGTTTAGGAACTCTTGGACACCAGGCAAAAATCACAGAGGATGAAATGCTCCTTTTACCAGAGGCTTCTCCAGCAGAATGATTCCTGACCTTTGCTGGTCAGCACTGAGCGTGTCCATCATTGCCTGAACCACAAGAAATGTGGCTTTGTTGTGGCATTTCTCCTGCAGAAATTGCTTCTTTGATCCAAAGCCAGAACTCTTCATTGTTTTTTAGCTCCAAAGCTCGGAGGCGTGATCCTCCCTTTTAACCAAAGTGAACAGTTGACATTTCTATTAATTTTATTGTAGTCTGGATGCAGGCACCACCCCAACCTTCAAACAAATCCTCATTTCATTCCATACTTGACTGAAACCCCACGTGGACATGCCCAACTTCCTGAAAGTTGGGTGAAAACGTGATTTTTTTTTGGAAAACAACCATGATTTGTCTTTCACCTTAATACCCAGCAAAGTCTGTAGGACTAAATATCTACACCTTCTTCATCAGTACACTCCAAAACTACAGAATCAAAGAAAGAAAGAAAGAAAAACCACAGAAACCCAATTAAGCTCAGTTTTTACTTTGGCAACATAATCACTTTGGAGACTTAAAACCTGCAGAAACCTAAATAGGCTCAGTTTTAACTTAGTCAACAAAGAACAACTTTGGAGACTTTCTCTACATAACAATTTAATGAGTGTTTCACTTTCACATGACAATACCCGTCAAAAATGTGTGCTCCTGCATATCCTGGTTGGATCCACCTTCTCTCCATGAACCAACCCTGCCCTGCAGTGGTTGTCGGCTAAGAAAAAAAAAAAACAAACAAAAAAAGCTCCTGTGTTTTTTTAACATTCTTGACTCAACCCTGGAAAACAACATGAGATGAAGGTGGGAAAAAAGAAGTTTAAAACAGGGCTGTGGCATTGAGAAGTATGAAGAGAGAAGTTGAAAAACATCCTGGAGGAGATGCCAGGTGAGACGTTAGGGAATCCAGCACCTTCCCTTTAATAAGTTTGGAATGCAAAGGAGCACCGTCACGTTGCAGTCATTTTGGAGCGTGAGCTAGGAATGCCAAGCTCCTTGCCTGCTCCAAAGATAGAAATTTGGCAGAAGAACAAGCCAGTCAAAAATAAATAAATAAAGAAATAAAGAAGAAGATAGAAGAAACAAGGTAAATTGGTGAGGTGTTACCTGGGATATTGGGTTGAGACTTCAAGTGATGTAAAACTAGCGTTGTTCCACTAATGGTGTGGTGAGGTGTTACCTGGGATATTGGGTTGAGTCCTCAAGTGATGTAAAATTAGCTTTGTTCCACTAAGGTGGACAGGTAACAACAAAAAAATAAGGTAACAACAAAAAAATACCAATAAATTAGGCAAAGAGCTGTGAAGCAGGAAGGAGCTCCAGTTGGGAGTTGTTAAGCTTTAGAACTAGTGTGTAGTGAAGGACACTCCATGTGTAAAACCAAAGAAGAGAGTCTTCTCTTGAAGAAACAGAGGTGTCTTGGAGAAGTACCTGCATGAGGTTGGGGTGGCCCGTTCCTCCAACCTCACCAAGGCACAGACATTTTCTACAGCCTCACCAAGGCACAGACATTTCCTCCAGCCTTGCCAAGGCATAACCATCTCCTCCAACTTTGTCAAGACATGGTCATTTCATCGAATCGTAGAATGGTTTGAGTTGGAAGGGACCTTTAATTGTCATCTAATCCAACACCAAATGAGCACAGCCATTTCCTCCAGCTTCATGAAAGTACAGACATTTCCTCCAGCCTTACAAAGGCATGGACATTTCCTCCAGTCTCTCCAAGTCATGGATGTGTCCTTCAGCCTCACCA